GAATCCTTTAAATCTGCCACTTTCCCTGGGCTTAGCCCTGTGATAACCTCTCTCAAAGTACACACGTAAAAGCCTGTTTTTACCGCCAACTAAATTTCCACTGGCTTTGATAGCAAACGTAACCCTGGCTCAGGCATTTTTAGGATTTAATATAATGGTTCCTAAAATTAGCAACCTAGCAACTAGCATGAGTCGTTTTTACCTTCAGTTCTTCTCACCACACTTCAGTGCTCCTCCACTGTGGCATCAGCTGCTGGAGCTAATGAAACGTCAGTCTGATAATTGAGGAAGTGCTGGTCAAAGGGATGGAGCAGAATAACTACTCTCTGTCTTGCTCACAGCCATCTGGCTTGGCTGCTAGATGGGACAGAAACAGCTTTCTCTCAATGAACTTAACAATGTTTTACTTAACAGTGTGAGTAAAAGCTTGTCAATGTCACTTCAAAAGCATTTCCTTTATGCTTGTTAATGCTTTCCAAAGGGTAAGGTTCTTGTTTACATATGTTTGTGTTAAGGATGTACTGATAATTATTTTAATTCCGATTAAGCGATCACTGATGAATGGCCAATATTAAAATTATAGATAAAATGTTTTCGTAAACATAATACCTAAATTGAGTCTTCAATGCTATGAGAGAACTTAAGACAAAGTTATAATGCATAGCATAAAAATGGATATTCATTTTGAAATTTGGTCAAGATTATATGTAACTGTTACAAAATTACTGTTTCTAAAGATTAACATTTTTAGCATACACAATTAAGAAAACTTCCAATTGAAATACACCTGATGAAGATTTATGTTATTAGGCTGCATTTTTTTTATCAAAAATACAGTAAAAACAGTAATACTGTGAAATATTAAAATGTAAATAATTGTTTTCCATTTCAATATACTTTAAAAATGTAACTTATTCCCATGATTGAAAAGCTGAATTTTCAGCATTCATTACTCCAGTCTTCAGTGTCACATTCAGAAACCATTCTAATATGCTGATTTGGTGCTTAAGAAACATATCAATGTTGAAAAGAGTTGGGCTGCATGATATATTTGTGGAAACCATGATACCTTTTTTATAATTACTTGATGAATAGAAAGCTCAAAAGAACAGCATTTATTTGAAACAGAAATCTTTTGTAACATTATAAACCTCTTTACTGTGACTTGATCAATTTAATGCATCCTTGCTAAGTACCCAAATCAGTTGCACTCAGCTACAAATCTAAACATTTCTGCATTATATTTCAGAAAAATGCCTAATGTCGGTCTCCAGTTATGTTTCCCCTCTACTTACCAAGGTGTCCTACTGAGTGAATAACGAGTTTTCTCCAGAGACACATAAAGTGTCCCCATTTCATAACCTTCTTTTCTAACTGTCTTAAGGGCATGGATATCGAAACATTGTCCAAAGCAGACTGGGGTGGTTAAAACTGGCCGTAAGCATAACTACTAGCAGGCGACTGGGACAGTAACCTCATCTAATAAGTAAAAGGAAGCTGAAATGCACTACACTGACCTTTCCCTGCAGACGTCAACTATTGCTTCTCAAATCTGAAATCAGCAAAGTCCACCATAACTTGAATAAAGAATTCCATTGTCTTTCTTGGAGATGAACTCACCTATGTTGATATTTAAAAAAGAAAAAAATAGGGATCAGACAATGAGTTTATTTTAGATTTTTAAATGAGTTTCACCCTTTCAGAACATGTACTTTGAAGTTCAATGAAAGCTCATTATCATCATCTGACTGTGATGGAGATCTATGCATTTAGATAGAGTGATGAAAACTCTATGAAGCCTCGCTCCCTCGATGACAGACCTCAAGTCGTCTTTTTCCTGACTATCTCTTCTCCATCATATCCCTACCGCATCTGCTTCTAGGCGTGCTCTCGGACAATGACGTATAGCCACAATTAGCCCTGGAAAGACTTCAATTATGATAAAAAAAACCTTCACCCCTCTTAGGTCATGATTAAAAAGCTCTTCTCTACTCCAGTGCCTCTGATAAAGAGCTCTCGTTTCACACCATCACTTCTTCGTCGTGATAATAAACCACTCCTCCAGGGTTCTGCTCGATGCTCATCCCCATTGCTCAGCCATTTACATTTTTACATGGGTAGCAATGCAATGACCCTGTTTGGGCTCCCAAAGACATATTAACATGAACGCAAGCCATTCACCCTGCATTCAAGACAAAAAAAACAAACAAGAAAAGCATAAGAGGAAAGACATGAGACTGCTCACATGAACTTCATCCTCATCTGAGAATGACACAGATGCACATTCAAAATTTTGGAATGAGATTTGCTTAGTAACACACTTGATAAATGGATTTGCTGTAATGAGATGGAGTCATCACAAAGTCACGAAAAGAAACAGAAGAAGAGAGAGGGGAAAAGAAGGATCGTCTTTCGGCTGTGTTCTGTCAAGGGAGAAATTACACACTTACTGATTTTTTTTCCCCAAGGATGGCCACCATAGATCATATGTTGGGATTTACGAGCCAATTTCCAACATGAAATATAGACACCAAGAATCAATTTTACCACTGTTTTTCACTTTCTCTCATCTCAACAGATCACAGCTGCTATAGCTTTCCTCAGGTACCATGGAAGCCGCTTTATTATCTAAAGTCAGACAAGAAAGAGGATTAATTATTTTCCAGTGGACGCTACCACTTACCTCATATTTAAAACAATGTTAAGGGAGCTTGTAAAATAATTAAAACTTGCTGAATCTAATTACTTACTCTGTTTCTGTGCATAGCTTGGTAACCCACAAAGCCTGATGCTTTGGTTTCTTTAGAAGCTATTTTCATTGGTGAAGAAAATATACTGTCTGAATTTAGTCAGAAATGTAAGTCCATAATAACGTCCTGTGTATAAAATGTATGGATTAAAAAATAGCACACTGCTAACATTGCCATATAATACAGCCATTAAGCTATAGTTTTTGTGTGATATTGCGTATACATTTATATTGTGTGTCTCAAAGAGAACTATTATGAGAACAAGGAAGTCCACACCACAGGTATAAAGATAATGACACAGGAATTGGAATCACGTTCAGAACACTTTTTCCAGGTGATGAACGAAATAAACACTGACAGCAATCAGAATCCATACTTTAAAGAGCCTGAACATTTAAAGCGGCAAAAGACTGTCTGCAGCACACACTTTCAATAAACAGACGTTATCATCAGCTGGTCCGGACGCTATTATAGTTATTAAAGAGAAATATATGACAATAGGGGCCTTTATGGTTATATTTTTGCTTACCATTGTTGGTGAGAACGGCCTTTTGAAAGCCGAAATCATTCTGTAAGTGATTCCAATGACATTGGCGTAATCGGAATAGCTGAGGTGTGGACTTCCATATTCTCATAGAATTAACAACTACTAAAGCTTTTTAGTTACAGTTGTGGTTATAGCTGTGGTATGGACTTAAGTTACCCATTTTAAGAATTGGATATTGTCCTTGGTCTTAATGGCCCGTTAACTCAAGTTATCCTACACACGACAGTTTAATAAAATAAATTTTTAACTACAGTTGTTAACTTTTAAATTAAAATATATCTGTCATATAAAATAAATTTGAATAGCAAACCTTTAAGAAACCTTTCAGTCAGAAGGTCTTATGCTATCGCCTCAGTTGAGGCTCACTACTGTCTCGAATACATTTATCACGGGTTATGCAGTTGACATGCAAATTATAAATGTTTCCTGTCATGTTCAATACTGTAATGAATTTACTGGAGATGTCTTTATCGCGGCGAATTCATGAAGTGGCTTTGACGAGCGGCAGAGCTCGCGCCGTTCACGTTATTGATGCGCGCGCTTGACAGCTAATTTAAAACGCACAGAGCGCCTCACAAATGCGGAGCCAAATACACGGATCTCACGGAACACATCAACGCGTGGGTGTGTTTAGTTAACGCTTTCAGCTTCAGATGAGGGTGAAAATTTTACCTTGGCTTACAGTACTACTTTTTTTTTTTTTTTTTTATCTAAACCAGTCCATAACCTAAATAGCAGTCACATTACAACCCTGAATCATGGTCACAAGATATTTATATTCGATTTCATTTTTTTCCCCTTTCATTACACTTTTACAAATCAAAAGGGAAACACTTAGGGGGGGAAAACATTTATTAAACACAATGACATTTTACAGGTAATGAGCTCAATATACAAGAGCATCTATTTGAGATGGGTGACACTCGGTTTACTGCTCTTCTGAGAAAAAGCAGGACTGCAGGTGAAAACAGGCAAATCAGAATGGCAGATGTAAAGACGCCAGTTAGACAGGGACACCTCCAAAAAATGAGACATTTTTTCCAGAGCCTGCCGTTTCAAGATGCAGCCAAAAAGCAAACACACTTTCAATAAACAGTCACTCATACCATCTGTCCAGCATACGTTCATTATCTAAACCAGTCCATAACCTAAATAGCAGTCACATTACAACCCTGAATCATGGTCACAAGATATTTATATTCGATTTCATTTTTTTTCCCTTTCATTACACTTTTACAAATCAAAAGGGAAACACTTAGGGGGGGAAAACATTTATTAAACACAATGACATTTTACAGGTAATGAGCTCAATATACAAGAGCATCTATTTGAGATGGGTGACACTCGGTTTACTGCTCTTCTGAGAAAAAGCAGGACTGCAGGTGAAAACAGGCAAATCAGAATGGCAGATGTAAAGACGCCAGTTAGACAGGGACACCTCCAAAAAATGAGACATTTTTTCCAGAGCCTGCCGTTTCAAGATGCAGCCAAAAAGCAAACACACTTTCAATAAACAGTCACTCATACCATCTGTCCAGCATACGTTCATTTCAGACAGAAAAGCAGACTTTTCTTTTCTTCTGCCAATTTACAGTTCATCTGGGTTTAGGCTGCCTGGTTGGACAGAAGAGGTGGTATAATGGAAAAGGTTGTCAAGGGTGGTCTGTGTCATGGTACAGGTTTGGTCTTGAGAATGGAGAGAGGGAAGCAGGTGGGATTGAGGGGTGGTGGACAGAGAGGGTAGTCATTGTGATGAATACATTAACAGAGAGAGCGGTCATCAAAAGAGCACATAACAGATGACCTACAACCACAACCTTACCCTCTGACCCTGAAGCAGGCAATCACTTAAGAGAGCTCCACAAACCTCTCTATCCTCTTCCAAAAAATGTCCAATTGAGTTTACAAAGTCATTTATGTCACGGTTTCTTCACCTTCTTAATAGATGAGGAACTTGAGGCAGATTCTCTGCGTTTGCGCTGCGCAAAGAGAAGAGACCATGTTGAAATATTAATACCAGTGGAATTGTATGTAAATTTTAGTTTCATTTTAAAAAATTCACATGCATTAAATTGTTTAAAAACATTAAACGCTTATAATTTTGTAAAATAATTTATGCTTTAAATCAATACATCAGTAGATGATGTATAATAAAAAAATATGTAAAAAAAAAAAATCTGAAAATAAATAATTGGGTTTCAAATAAATATTTTTAATGTTTAAAAGGAGATCAAATTGCATGATGATGCTTGTTGAGGTCTATCACTAAAGTAGGTCTATCATTAATTAACAAGCCAATAATTTATTAAGTCATAGCAATTTATATTTACATTTAGTCATTTAGCAGACGCTTTTATCCAAAAGGACTTACAAATGAGGACAATGGAAGCAATTTACAGATAGGCACTTGTAGTTACTTCCCGCTGAAAACTCACCGAATTTGGAGTGAGTGGAGCTCCAACCACATCAATAAGCTGCTCTTTGGCTTCGGTTTTGATGTCATCAACGCAGGGCCAGGATTGACTGTCAGGTGCTCCACTGCTCTCACTCAGTGGTGTGACGGCGCCCCCTGATTTTAGCAGAGCGTCATAGCGGTGCCGCAACATCTGCTGTTCGTACTCACAGTTACTGTAGGCCTGCTTCAACTCATAAACCAGGACTAGGTCGCTGCGGAGCTCGTTAAACATATGCACAATCTCCTCTGTGGGCATGGGGTTGAGGTCTATCGAGGAAAGGATAAGGGATATGTTATGAGATGGTTCAAAGCAAATTCTGTGTTTAGAACTGTGTAGTTATTTTTTGTTTGTTTGCAAGAATTGATTTTAAAAGGTTTAGATGAAGAACACTATAGCTGGGTAAAAATGTTCTCCTTTCAACAATCCCAATCCTGATTCTTAAAATTCCAGGATCAATCAATCATTTTATTCTATGCCAGTGTTTTCTGCACCATGGCAAACGAAGTCATATTTTAGAGTTTAAAATCTGAACAATGTTATGAGATAAAAAAGGCACTGTACTCTGAAATAATGGAATAAAATGTAAATACAAAAATATATTTATATAAATATATGTTTCTATTGCTTTGTCCCAACAGGCTGCATGCAATAGCATACATCATGAGCATTGCAGTCCAAATCACAAATAATTATTTTAAAAGTTATTTTTAGTGAAACAAAGCTCAAACATAGCAATCCATTTCACAAGTAAACAACTGCTTTGAGCCTGTCCATATAATGCTCATCATTTTTTTTTAAATCATAATAAACCCCATTCAAAAGTCTCAATATCTACAGTAGTCAACATCTGAAGTGGATCAAAACCTTTCATCAAAGTTGACCTAAAACCAAAACAATAACCGTTTTTGTCTTAGGACAACTTTAATGAACTTTTTTGATCCACTTCAAATGTTGACTACTGTAAACTATTTCATGTGATTTACAGCAATTTGTCATTTTAAAACAAATGTATATAATGTTATATTATTTTTATACAAGAAATGCATATGTAAGAAAAGAACATTTCATAATATACAAAATCAAGCAAAATCAGTATTACAACTGAAATTTTCCTAAATTAATCAATTTAATTAAAATTAGAATTGAAATCAAGAGCTCGTGAATCAGAATCAGTACCATTTTTAGATTGAATCTCTTTATTACTGTTCAGTAGAAATGGCTATAGAATCATTTGATAGGCAAGTCAGAAGAGAGAAGAAATGCTTATAAAAATGCTACTCACCCACTCCTTGCTCCGTCAGGATCTGTTCAATTGCTTTTATTTTCTTCTGTCCAACTGAGCTGGGCAGCTTCATCTAAGCACACAAATTCATTAGTTATCAAAATCTATAATTACAAATAAACTTTCAGTAAACTTAAATTGCGCTTGTGTGCTCATGTCTTAATCCATGAGGTGTTGGAACTCTAGCTGGAACATTAACACCTTTAACACCTCAGATGGCTAAAAAGTGTGAGCAATGGAATAAAAATGGGGTCATCTTTCATTCATAAGACCCCTGAAATACACTTCAGAGAGGGCAGATCAAAACATGTTTATGCACCCAAGTCTGACTAATAGATGACCAGCCACATCTGAGTCATACAGTACCCCAGTACCATCCTTAATACGTTTTATATAGAGCAACCTCCCTTCATTACTCTTTAGGAGGAATGCCTTCCTGTGGGTAGATCACTCTACCTATGACTGTGTGAATCAATCAACTCCTGGCTAATGAGAGAGAAGTTAAACGCCATAGGCTCCTGCAGCGAAGAAGGATGTGTCATAATATTATGCAGAGATCGTATATTAAGAAAAGGATCAGGGGTCAGTTTTGTCAAAGTGTGTAAGTTGATCTTACTCTCTGACTCCGTAGTGAAACACCAGCAGATTTGAAGTCTGGGAATTTGATGCCTGCGGTTTCAGGAACAGCCTGCCATTGGCCAGATGAGAGAGTATTAGAGGAGCAAGTGGTAGAAAGTATTAAAGTTTACAGATTTTTTTTTTTTTTTACTTTTTGCAAAGAAAGTGCAAAATTAGGATGATTGCAATTGAAAATACAGTTTTTCTTCCCCCATCAAACCACTATTACTATCACAGACAGTTTAAAAATTGAATTTAGACAGTTTGAGGGGTAAATAAAGAAATATTTACAGGTTTTTCTGTCTCTCGTTTCTGCGGCAGCTTCTTCTTGGTGGCTTTGCGTTCAGCTCTGCGCATCTCTGTCGTCGTGTCAGCAGCTGTAATGAGCTTCTGGAGGTCCTGGGCCTTCTTTTCACGCTCCTTCTTGCGCGTCTCAATCTTCCTCAGCTCCTGGATCAGGTATTCCTCTTCTGCCACCTACAGAAAGGAAACGGAAGCACATTGTCTAAATAAGATCAAGCTTGTACCCATCACTTATTACGAACTTACACCATTACCTCCAGTGTGTCACATTAATTACCAAAATTCTGGCACCCACCACAGTTTCATAATGAACTGAAAATATTATTAAATTTCTGCATCACTGTTGCAATCATTATGCAGACTGATAAAGATTGGTCTTGTTCTGAGTGTTCTCACCTGCTCTGGAGTGCGGTTGAAAAGTCTCTCGAGCTGCTCTTTCCTGCGTCTCTCATGACCAGCATCAAATATGTAGATCTTAGGCTCTGTACCTGTTCCTGCCCGAACTTTTGTCAGTTTGCCACAAATGTGGTAATAACGCTCCTTAAGATCCTCAACAGAGCGTTTCTACAATAATAACAATTAAATCAGTGAGGAAATGTGATTAGAAAGAAGCAAATTGTAACATGGTCAAGTTACTTTTTTATGTTCATTACAAAATTGAATCTTGTAGAGGAATTTACTCTGTACTGTTGGTGATCATAGCGATCATGTATAACAATAAACCGCAGGTCGAAACGTTTGCACAAGTCGAACAGGTGATCCGTTTCAGCTTTCGTCCATCCATCGTCATGAAGATACATCTGATACTCCTGCTCTGAGTACAGAGGCACCTGCACAGTCTTGAAACAGGAATAATATTTTCAATAACATGCAACATGAATGTCAATTTCAAAACAAGAATAATAAATAATCTCTTCTCTCCTCTACTTATGTCAATTTCTCCTACTCTGTTCAATATCATTCTCTCTTTCCTACCTTGCTGAAGCGAGCAAATGGGTAGTCCTTTCCCTCCTCTGCTGCACGTCTCCAGTGATGGAAGATGGTTCCATCTTTTCTGGCTGGATTAGAGAATGGCATCCACTTCCAGGGCCTCACCTTCTTACAGCCCAGTTTCGCTTTCACTGTCCGGTAGCCTTGCGTAGTATCACTCGGTAACAGGGGAGGGGCATCCCGACTGCAAGAGGGAAAACCATATAAAACTTCATTATATGTTGTCACTTTTCAGCGTAACAATATCAGATTCCACGGACAGCATACAGGGCTCAACAATAAAAGTTTTTCTTTTATGCTTTTTCTTTTATTTTCACTTGCCAAAATTTTAACTAGTCCCACAACAAAACATATTTGAAAAAAGCAACAGACGACAAACATTTGGAGTGTTATCAGTTCTATTACTTCTGTGGAGTTTCTGCATGAGGGCGGCCTCCAGCGGCTTCCAGCATGAATAAAACTGACATTACATGTGTTTATAGTGCTCAATAATGGCCAATCCATCCTATTTTGGGTAAAAATAATAAAAATAATACTTCTCTCAAAAGAAATTTTAAGTAGACATGTATTGAACCGTGGCCTAACTGTATTGTTGCATCCCTATCCCTAATAAATAAATAAATAAAACAAAAAAAATTAAAAAAAAAATATATATATTATATATATATATATACAGTGGGTACGGAAAGTATACATACACACAATTGTTCAAAAGTTTGGGGTCAATAAGTATTTTTTAAACAAATTAATATTTTTATTCGGCAAGGATGCATTAAATTGGTCAAAAATAACAGTTAATACATTTATAATGTTACAAAAAATGTCTATTTCAAATTAATACTGTTCTTTTGAACTTTCTATTCATAAAAGTATCCTGAAAAATGTACCATGGTTTACACAAAAATATTAAGGAGCACAACTGTTTTCAACATTAATATTAATTAATAAGAAATGTGTCCTGAGCACCAAATTAGCATATTGAAATGATTTCTGATGGATCGTGTGACATTGAAGATTGAAGATTGAAGTAATGGCTGCTGAAAATTCAGCTTTGCCATCACAGGAACAAATTACACTTTAAATTATATTAAAATAGAAAAAAAAGTTATTTTAAAATTATAATATTTCACAATATTACTGTTTGTACTGTATTTCTGATCAAATAAATGCAGCATTGGCAAGCATAAGACTTATATATATATATATAAAAAAACTTACCAAACCCAAACTTTTGAATAGTAGTGTATATTAAGTATATATTTACTTTTATAAAAATATATGTATATATATTTATTGATTTTTCATTTACAAGAGCTGGGAATTATTCAGCTATAATAAAATCTCATAATAAACTCATACAAACCTATTGGTTGTACAACTAATACAACAAAACATGTTTTCTAGTCATTTTAGTCATTTCAACAAAAAGAATGATACATTCAAACAGCCAAATGATCTGTCATTAGCCATGGGAATCAATTTTTAGAAGGCAATGCAAATACAATCTCATAATATGGGCAATAAAACAATGAGATGAAAAAGCTGAGCTGCGCCTGCCAACTTACTTTTTATCTGAATACAGCAAGGCATAAACTTCTCTGTGCATTCCTTCTGGTCTCTTGAAGGTTAAAGTCTCTGTCACTTTCTTGGCTTTTTTCTACAACAACAAACAGAATGAGAATAGTCTCAACAATACAAAGCTAAAGCATGGGTCACAGAAAGTCTAATGGTGTCGGTTCTCATCTGTGACAGTTTACCTTGTCTGAGTTGATGATGTCCTTCTTGCTGATGGGTCCTGAATCATTGTCTCCTCCTGCCAGCTCCAGAATATCCCTCACATCAGCACCGGTCGTCATGGTGAGGGACTAATAGTTCCAACAAAATGATAAGCAAAGAGGTGCATTATAATATACATATACAATGAAGTGATTGGTTTGCTTTTGAAAATAAGGATAGTCTTTGTTATATGAGTGCTAAATGAATTAACTTGCTTGCTGCAGTAAATCTGACAACCAATACACACTAACACAGAAAATACATCAGGGTTAAATATTCAAAATTGTCTGCTGGGTCTGTTTAAGCAAGTAGAAGATAAAGTAATAAATAGTAGCTAAAAGACGAAGCGCTAATAAACACGAAATCTCGGAATCAATGAGCTTACACGCTACCTGACAGGCGGGAACCAGATTGAGCTCATATAGTACTTCTAGAACTGCACTTATGAACTATAAGGGTATTAAAAGTAACATTCAATCTTACCTGACAAAAAATACAGGTAGTCTGTGTATCTAAAATAAATACGCTGGTCTTTATTTACGGGTCAGTGTTGGCTGAAATGCTGTATTCATCGGCGGATGCAGTTCTCCTCTTCGATGGTCGGCTTCTCTGTGCGTCTTGACACACTTGTGCAAATGATCGCCACCTATAGAACAAAAAGAAGAAGTGCATCTACAATACTGTCAACCAGGGTTCATAAAATGCCTTGCTTAGGGGTTTGTGTGTTTAAAAATAGCAACTGTCTTTGTATAGTCAAACTACAAAACAACAGGTTTTACAGTATAATAAAACATTTATTGTAAGTGTATGGCAGTTTGCAGTAATGCGGACAAAAACATACATGCATTGTATGAAACTATTATAGTGAAGTGAAGTGACATGTGGCCAAGTATGGTGACCCATACTCGGAATTAGTGCTCTGCATTTATCCCATCCAAAGTGCACACACACAGCAGTGAACACACACACACACCGTGAACACACACCCGGAACAGTGGGCAGCCATTTTTTGCTGCGGCGCCCGGGGAGCAGTTGGGGGTTTGGTGCCTTGCTCAAGGACACCTCAGTCATGGTATTGAATGACAGCTGAATGACATCTGGCCTGGATGGTTTGACTGGATTTTCTGGTTGGAAATCAGAAAACAATTTAAATTTCAACTTTATGAAATACTCTACCATTCAAAAGTTTGGGGTCAGTTCGTTTTTTTAACTAAATTCATACTTTTAGTGAGGACGAATTAAAGGGATAGTTCACCTTCAGTTGCTGGTCCCCATTGACTTGCAATAGGTTTTTTATATTCCATACTATGGAAGTCAATGGGGACCAGCAACTGAAGGTGAACTATCCCTTTAATTTGAACAAAAGTGACAATAAAGACACTTACAATGTTACAAAATATTTCTGTTCTTTTCCATTTTCTACTCATCAAAATATCCTGAAAAAAATGTATCGTGGTTTCAACATTAATAATATGTTTCTTGAGCATCAAATCAGCACATCAGAATGATTTCTGAAGGATCATGTGACACTGAAGACTGGAGTAATGATACTGAAAATTCAGCTTCGCCATCACAGGAATAAATTACATAAACGCAGCCTTGGTGAGCATAAAAGACTTCTTTTTTAAAAATCTTAAAATCTTACAGACCCCAAACATTTGAGTGGTAGTGTATCTACAATAAATAATTACATGGAACAGTTTAATGTTTTTTTTAGTTGTTTAACCTTTGATTTTCTTAAATATCGTCACTTTCAGCGAGAACAATTTGGACTTCTTGTGAGGACTTTCGGATGAGTTGGCGGTTGGTACAGTTGCAGGGCAAGTCATTTTCTCTGGCATGACAGGGGAGGGGTTCTTCACAATTGGTCCTGTCAGAAAATATTTGAGATATAATTATTATGCACAACCAAAGGTATTTTTTAAAACTGAATAGTGTATTTTCAACTGTGTTAAAGCAACAATAGTAGCCTACTGCCTTTCTTCTTCTCTACGTCCTCCTTACTGGACTGTCGGGTAAACAGTTTTGTAATGCTAGAGGCTGAAGTTCGCATCTTCTTCCTCAGGATTAAAAGAGCAGTCTTGGGTTGTGAGGATGCTCCTTCTGTTTGTTTCTTTTCTGAGCCTTCTAGTTGAGGAGAAGAATGGCTAGCCCACAAGTGCTTGTGGAAGATCTTCATGAATCCAGGCTTAGAAGATTTCCCACTAGGGGGGTTGGCTTGTAGAGCTGGGGCTGAGGCATGTCTTTGAAGCAACTCTTTGCTTTCTCGTCCTGCCTTCTCAGAAGGACGTCACTTTTATTGCACATCTCATTTAGACCAGAACTTGAACTGTTGGTGCGTCGTCTTGGCTAAGCTTGCGGGAGGTCTTGGCGAAGAGATCTAAGGGCATTCTCCATGTCCTCATCCTCAGAGTCCTGTAGTAAAGAGCATGGAGATGTTTTTCCAGAGGATCCAGAGATCAAGATCTCATCATTGTGGTGTCTGTGGGAGAGCTCTTCATGTGAGCCTACCCTGCTAGAGGCCTCTGAACTGTGGTCAAGCAAGCATGCTATAGCGAAAGCTGTGAGCCATCCATGCTCTCCTCATCACCTAAATTTCTTGCCTCTGTTTCCGTGACCTGCAACTGGTTGTCATCCTCACAAGAACTTTGCGAGACTGGCTGATATCCTTCTTCGGGTTCATGAACCTGTACTCTCACCTTTCTCATGATTACTGGGCCCTTCTTTGGCAAAAACGCAGAACGACGGCAAAGTTTCCTACTCACTTGGACTTCTTCAGTTTTCTACTCTTCCTCATCAGTGACATCTGGTTTCTGGCTTCCTTTGACATCATGCTCATCCTCTCCTTGCACTGTTGGCTCAGTTGAAGCTGGAGAGCGTAGTGTGTATACATCTAATGACCTGCTTCTTCTCTGGGTGTGTGTGGTTGGATGGGCAGCGCTTATTGCACTATCAAATGAGCTTGACTTGAGGATAGACGAATGCATTGATCCTCTTCTTTGGTTACGATTAGCTTCTATATCTGGGGAATATTCTACATACTCTATGAGGGGCTCATTTAACCTGCTGGAGAGGCTGGCGCGGAGGGGCTTACGGCCACGCTCTTGCTTTTTAGCTTAGATTTTATCCCGAAGCGTCATGTGACGAGCAGACATGGGTGAGAGCTGCTCGGCTACAATGAACGTGGTATGGGATCAAATACTTCATCTCACTCAGAGAGGTGAAGATACACTCTTAAAAATAAAGGTGCTTCAAAAGGTTCTTCAAGCTATGCCATAGAAGAACCATTTTTGGTTCCACAAAGAACCATTCAGTCAAAGGTTCTTTAAAGAACCATCTCTTTCTTACCTTTTTGTAATCTGAAGAACCTTCTTTCGCCACAAAGAACCTTTTGTCAAACAGAAAGGTTCTTCCGATGTTAAAGGTTCTTTATGGAACCATTTAGACAAAAAGGTTCTTCTATGGCATCGTGAAGCACCTTTATTTTTAAGAGTGTAGGGGCTACTGTTCCCTCCTCTCCAAACTGACCGGCTCTGTTAATGGTGTGGTCATGGGAATCACCAGCGGGCTGCTGTGAATTTGGTCCTCACCAATAAGCACGTCATCTTCACCCTGTTTTAGAACTGTGGGCGTCTTTGACACATGAGCATATGGGTCATATTCTTCATCTTCTTCCAAATCATCTTCATCCTCCTGGCTCACCTGCTGGAGGAAGTCCCAGGCATCTGCCTCATCAAACTCTGAGGAGGATCCACTACTCAGGGAGGTGCTGCTGGGCTCCTGGGTCTTCCTTGCAGCAGTAATTGAAATGTCACGCAGAGGAGCCTCCAACAACTCTGGGATCGGTCTCAGAGTCAGAACCGTGTCGAGACATGTCAAGGAACGCTGAAAGAAAAGGGAAGAAGCACAGAAAAGTGTAGGAAGACATTCAATGGCAGAGGAAATCATTTAAAATCTTACCTGCCATTTTCTACTTGAAATAAAAGATAAAAAAATTTTGGTATTTGTCCTCAGGTTCTTCATCTTCATAATAACCCTAAAAGTAATCACATTTCTGATGAACGTGAATTCTATTTGTGCACACGGCTTATTTTATGTTTGCTTATTGGTATAAACACAGATGACTACCTACCTGAAACCCCTCATGACTCAAACACTCAGATGCAGAGGGTGAAACAAAGCAGCTTTATGTACTGCTTCTCACAAAAACTTCAAATACACGCATGTAAGCAGTTCTTACTCTGGGTCTGGTTGTTGAACCCTATGTAGGAAGTCCTGTGCCTCCGCACTTCTGCTTATGATCTCAGGAGTGTCCCAGTACAGCAAACCCTCAGCGACCTTCATCAGTGTGGCACGGTCGTTCTCCCCAAAGAAAGGACAGTGGCATGTTAAGCTACCGAGAAAAAAGCAATATTAAAGAAAAGTACAGTACAATTATTTTTAGATTTTATAGACATACAGAATTGCAGATTACAGATAAAATAGAAAGAAAAATAAAGAAAAATATCTGCTTGCTCCATTTCTTCAATGCACTCACCATAAGTAAGTAACCAGACCACTGACCTGGAATAAATAAAAAATAACAATGATCAAGCGGACAGAATTGTTTTTCTGAACATCACAAATTTTGTTCACCACAAGTTTGTTTACCAGATATCAGTGGCTATAGTCACAGGTTCTTGGTGGATAATTTCTGGAGCAACAAATTCAGGTGTCCCAAACTTGCTGTACTGGTGTCTGGAGTTGTCAATTTCCTGGCAAAAGCCAAAATCACAGATTTTGATGTCTTCTCTCGCAGAGGACACCATTAGGATATTATCTGTCTGCAGAGAAAAGGTTTAAAAATAAGTTTAGCAAAACGTTAGAAGGACAGCCACATGTCAGAAGATGTCTTTACCAAAGACACCAATTAGTCCGATGTCAGAAAAGGATTATCTTTTAGTATCCTATCAGTGAAATTTCTTGTAATACATTAAAGCTTAAATGAATGCCACTTATAATACTAATAATACTGTAATATAACTATAGTACATACTAATATAAAGTAAGTATAATCACTTACTTTGATATCCAGATGTAAGATACTGTGTATGTATCCAATACCCTCCAGAGCCTGTTGAATATATAACTGGACCTAAAAACAATGAATAATAATTTGAACCTATTCTTGATTTCTGTATGTAAACTCACGGTTCAGCAAATCCAGGCTGAAGGAGCATTTGAAACAGGTTCTTCACAAAGGAACTGGGCCAACCTTCGGACTGGGGCTCTATTTGAAAACAATTAGGTTGTCAAACTCATTAAATTTGATTAAACACACTAACGTTAAAAAGTTTGGGGTCAATAAGATTGTCTTTCTTTTTTAAAATAACTTTATTCAGAAACAACTTTTTTTCTTTTTAGAGAAAAAAGACATTAATGTTATTTAATTATTTAATTATTCTATTTCAAATAAGTACTGTTCTTTTGCAACCTTCTATTCAATAAAAAAAAAATGAAATGATGGCTGCGTGAAAATTCAGCTTTGCCATCACAGGAGTAAATTCAATTTTAAAATATATTAAAATTATTTTAAATTGTAATAATATTTCACAATATAAATTTTTCTACAGTGTTTTACATTAATGACACCAAGCTTTTGAATAGCAGTG